CCTCTGAGCTAGGGCTAGGACGATTTCCATCGTCTTCGGTTTCTCGTGCGAGTTTTCTTTTGGGATGTACCTGTTTTTCTTGCCTGTTTGATCTCTTGGGACACTTACGAAGTGTTCAATTCGGCAGATAGCAGGCCAATTCCCTAATGCGTCTGATTGTGTCGCGCGCGTTCAGACTCCCGAGTCCTCACTCTCAGTTTAATTTCTGTTTCTACGATTCCAGTAGCGTCCGATACACAGAGTTTGTGGCTTGACTGTGTGCGTGTGAGGTTTGAAGTTTTAATACTGGTCGATGTGGGACTTTTATTCTCGTACCACCGGTCGTTTAATGCAGCCTCTACATCTGGTTTTGGATGAGTGTGTCGTGGGAACGGAATTTTTGGTCAAGTTCTTCTGTACGTAAATTTCATATATTGTTGGTACTGTCGACTGCTGGTTGACGACCGGTGTTCTGTCCATTGTTGGAACGTTAACACAGACTTGATGATTTCCAATGTGTCAGTCAACATAGGCGTCTAGCCACAATTTTGGGTTTATGACGATCAGCGCGATACGCTGTCGAATGGATCACGTTTCAAAGCATTCACAGGTTAAGGTTCCAGCGCACGATAGGTCCCCGAACCGCCACACTGCGCCCGACCCCGCACTCCTCGGACGCTTCAGTCCCCATCTCGCTCCCAGCTCACCACGAGAGCGTGAGAACCGGGTTACCATGCAGCTCCAACTTCTGCGTTGTAAATTTCGGTACAAGCTTGAATTTAAATATGTGCGTCATAAGGACAAAACTAGTGGAGCAATCGATGTTCGTGCTGTGCTGAATGTGTTTGGTTGATTGCTTCAACGTTTTTGTCTGCTCGAAGTCTCGATTGATTATGTGTTATCCGATTCTGTCGATCGGAGGTGTTGACCCAACATCAACCTGGGGACGAGGGCGGATGACAGGCTTAGTCAGTGTGGATCTAAACTATGACCCACCAACATTGGTGTGTCAAATGATAAAATCAGTTGCTTGACCGAAAGAAACTGACCTTGACAGGAGAGCGAAACGGTAGCAGCGTACGTTTGATACCAGCAACGGGCCTTGAGTAAAAATTAACTTGGTTATTATATATTGATTCTACACGAATGCAACTTATTTAATGTATTAAAACTGTTATATTGAAATTTAAATTTAAATTTAAATTTAATCTTTGTATTAAAATTTGTATTAAATTTTTGATGATCATCAAATCATATTATATATCATATACAGTATATATATAGGACATGTTATATCTGGCTCGCCTGTCTGACCAAATTCCATTGACAATCGGGTTAACAACAGCAAAGCTTTCAAGCGTTCTACGAGAGTGATTTCCACAAAATGTTGTTACTCAATGCACGATGCCTCGCCACACCAAAACGATTGGCGTTCTGTCGCGTTTACCATTAACGCGACTTTCATGCCAAAGTTTGAGATCATCGAGATCGGCGTTAAAAAACTGCCACCAGCGTCCTGGACCTTTATTTCGACCCTTTACTTTGGACCTTGATCATATTTCCCTTCGTCGTCTATCACCTCAATTGACATTAAGCACGACCAAAACTTGGATTGCTTACACCATCTTGGGAGAAGGTCTGTCGCATACCCAAACACCACCACTGCCTTTGACTTAGTTTTTGACCATTCAACGTTCGACTGCATTTCCCTTCGGCCTCCTAGGGTAACCAGATATCCTATATTGCACATTGAGGCACACCAGTTGTCATAACAAACCTTTGTCTTTTGTGACTTATTAACTATTACCTTGCCTTCTACACTCCTATTACAGAGCTATTACCATTCATACTAGGATCGACGGGGCGAGGGGGGCGCCTAAATACAACAACGACCCACAGCAACCACACACGACGCACCACAACCCCCCAGCCACATCTAAACGGAACTCTGTGCCCAACCAAAAGAACACACAACCGCCCGGGGGATACATGTAGTTGGCGACAACTGCTCGTTTCTACTTATCCTGGTGAACACCTGCTATTAGCTTTGGAAACTTTTGAAAAGAAATTTTAGATATATAGATGCATATTTAATTCCCTGTGTAGCTGAAGTTTCTGATCTACCCACAATGGTATATTATATACACCTAGCTCAAGCACCTCACTGGATCTACGGCAGACACGTTTCTTGAGTACATTCAGCGCAACCTACCTGAAGGCGTAGCAATGAAATGCACTCGGGTGAGCTTGTTTTGTATATATCTCCTTGTCATGCCGACTATTTCTGTTATTATGCACAGATATATGTTCGATGTGTGATCAAGCATGTGTTCCGATGACAGCACATTTTCAAGCAATGATGCCAAGTGGTTACATTGTGAATATTCATTATTTTGTTAAAATTCTAGGCTTTTTCATGCATTGAACTCACTCTCTGAGATACAAGGATCCCACCCTTGTACACTTTTGGTGATATCAAGCATTATAAATTAATCTAATTTTTGTCTTTTTCTTTTCCAATAATAGGTGGAAGTACAAAGGTTACCAGAACACATACACCCACCTCACCAAAAAAGCATTGAGGAAGGCGAGGAAGCAACATATCTAGAGTGATGAGGAAGATGCTGAAAGCTGCAGCACTGCAACCAAAATCTACGGATTATGTAAAACTGCAGTAAATGCGAATGGTTCCTAATCGTACCTTGTACGTAGTCGTCTTTTGCACAAAGTACCTTGTAAATATTTAAGTCGATTAAAACCCAGTTGAACTGTGACTGTGTACAAGTTTGGTGTTCTCTGTTATGTATGCACCGTTTTTATGGGAAATGTTGGAACTGATACAAAGGCATGTTAGAAGATATGGATACTCAGATGAAGGCTATAACCAAAATTTCTTATATTAGATAAATTTTTATTAGACTTTTCATATTATAGTTAGGTCGAGACACGATATTAGTTTTGCAGGTTATGTTTTAGACTTTCAAACGGTCAAGTGTTAAAAGAAATTTGTACAAGAAAAATTTCCAAGTACAAAAACATTTATTTAACAACCTGGCAGAAACACAGTGCACAAATGCTATGTACCCATACCTTCCTTCTCCATCCTGCCATCTTATGTTTACACAAAATACATTTAAAACTCAGAACTGATTGTGCATGTGCCTCAGTGTAGCTCACAGACAGTATTAGGACAAAATTTTACAGACATGACAATTATTACAGTACTCCTCTAAACGCAGACATCTTCCGTGATCAAGATACATGTTGATTCTGATACGAAATTTCAGTGTAAGTATCTTACGCTTGATAGCACATAGGTTTTATACTAATTCCTGGGGTTAGGTGGAGAATGACTCCCTGCACAAAACAACTACCGATCTTCAGACCGAAGACAACATAATAAAAGTACTTTGGAATGGCTACAATCAGTGAATATTTAAACACTTTGATATCTTTTAAACTTATCTCCATCATAGTTCTTGGATATTTCCAATTGGAGCATATGACTGGTGCCGGCTAATAATGCACTACAACAGACCAACTGACATTGACGTTTGGTCTAGAAGTTAATTAAAATTGCATTTGATGTGGCGACTACATATCTGTTATACAGAGAATGATATCCACATTATGACTGTGTGGTATAACTTGTGATTTACAATGCTACACATAACCTTTTATACAGCCTACAGACACGAGTTGTACTTTGTCATGGATCAAAAATGTAAATATTTTTGCCAATTTAAACAGCGTACATTTCGTAGTCGCAGTAGTATAGAACCATCTATTTACACACCACACAATATAAAATATTCAAGCATGCTTCCCAAGGACAGGACTATCTTTGTTTACACAACTTCAAGTGTGATCAGTAAGTCTAAGGTCAACTGCTATCACATACATTCAATGGAAATGGTACATGATCGCTGCACTCTACTGTGGAACTGCACAGGCACATCAAAACTCATAATACAACTGCGCCGAGGAATTGCCGTTTTGCCCCGGCTGGTGCGGTTTCGATGGCCCATTAACCTGCGGATAGCTAACAGGTGGTGCTCCGGCTGCCGGATCAGTGCCATACTGTGCTGAGGGGTACACTGCCTGCGCATCACTGGCTGTGGGGTAGGCGTAGCTGTTAGCTTGCGCGGCAGCTTGCGGGTCTGCGTACTGTTCACTTTGCTCCAGCATGCGATAGTAGTTCTCCCATTCCCTGTTGTACCTGTGCGAACACACATACGCACGTTGGAAAAATAACAATCACCAGTGCAAATTTACTATGTATATTATCAGGAGTCTATCAATAGACTCCTGATATTATAGATAAAACAATCGCGCATTCCGCTCCAGAGCAGACTGGTTAACTTTTACAAACATAATTAACACCATTTAACTTTTACGTTAGCTGCTCACATTGTGCTATGTAGAAGGAATACAAGGATTACTAGTAGGACGTATTATCCGACCACCATGAAAAAATTATAAATATGTTACATATAGTAAATCGAGTAAATGTCGACAAAAATCTGCGCGTGCATCTTTTTTTAACCCCTTAAACGGACCGACCGAATCGAATGCACGTGTAATCATTTTCTGTAGCAAGACGATAACAAACCGAAAGAGCTTAGTGCGTCTCAAGTCCTTTCACTTGCCTTTCTGAACTCTGGCAGCAAACTCCCACTGCCAACATGACGCGCACGTGTCGGATGCACCACGATAAATCAGCACCATTAAACATTGCAATTAGCACATCGACCGAAGGCGCGACATCTGCAGAGCAACTAAACGTCGTGGCACGTTCGATTATCCTCACGAAGGTTAGCCGCGCACGAAACCGCGCACGATCGAAGTGTGCGAAATAAAGAGTGAAATGATATATTCCGATGCCACGCTGGCTGTCTTCACGTTTATTTACCGGCTCGCACACGAAGCTGAGGTTCCGTGCCTACAGCTCACCGAATGAAAACGACTACCAACGAACTTGCAACACGACAAGACCTCAAGAAACAAGCGACAACAGCGCATTCAGTTTTCTGCGATTACACGCTGCATAATGTATGCATGTCAACCATTTATTCCAGGAACGTATATCGCTGCCATGCTCTACACCGAGTGGAATGACAGACTGGTTACAAACACGTCACGTCTTAAACATACAGTCCACTGCAACATCAAGAGAATTACGTTGCTTTTTTCCTTCTTGGGTACTACGGGTACGTATATTAAATCATATTATGGAATACTACACATTGATAACTTCTAAAACGTGCTACTTGTCTATATTAAAGAAATATCATCACTGGTTAAATAAAGTTCTGTGCAGACTGACATATCTAATTATTAAAGAACATTAATAGCTCTTAAAACTCGAGAAAAACTACCTTACACAACCTACACTGACAATTACAAGGTAGGGTCTGGAAGTGCATGTTATATTCTAATCTTGCTAAAATATTAATGAAATTTCATCAACTGTTAGAGTTTAGTATGCTTCTAAAGCTTTCAATCTGACATACGATTAGGTGCATAAACACGTCTACGATATGCAAGGAATTTCAGCCATCTTCCAGGCCCTGCCTACTTTAAATGTACACACTCATAGCACAAAAGCTCTACACGTGTAAGTTATCTCTACATATATTATATATGTACCTCAGAAGTTACCAGGAATTAAAACTGCCAAATAATTTCACGTTCGTTACCGCTGAACAACGCACGCAGAGCAGAACACAACAGCCGTCACGTCACGCTCCCGACCACACTGGCTCGATCACACGCACACAACACCGCTGCAAACCAGTTCAGCGCCGCTTTCTAACACGTCACAACAGCCACCGTGCGTCGTTGCCGCCGGTGACCGCAATGCTCGGACCGCCGATTAACGCCTTCGACCACCGACCGCAGTGTTCTGCCGCAACCGCTCCGTACCGCCGGAACCTCCGACCGCTGTTCCGTGTCGCGTCGACCGTTCCGTGTCGCGTCGACCGTTCCGTGTCGCGTCGACCGTTCCGTGTCGCGTCGACCGTTCCGTGTCGCGTCGACCGTTCCGTGTCGCGTTGACCGTTCCGTGTCGCGTTGACCGCTCTGTTCCGCTTTGACCGCTGTTCCGCCGGACACACTGACCGCTACGTCCCGCTTCGACCAAGGATCGCACCGATTTACCGACCGCACGCAATTAACGACCGACCGCACTGATTTCAGCCACTGACTGCAGGGATTTCACAATTGAACGCACTGATTCAAGCACCGATTAGCGACGAATCGGCCGCCACCACCACCCGCGACGGCTCGACCGCCAAAGTCCGTGCCTGAACCACTGCCCGCAATAGTTAACCACTGCTTTTAGTTATGGAATGCACTCGAGTTAATATTGCGACGTCTGATCAGTGGGGGGAGAGAAGTAGGGCAGGGTGTGCGGTGGTGGCGAGTAGCGAGTCGGGTAGCTACATTCGCAAGAGGAAAAAAAAACAGAAAATGAAAACAAGCCGTCCGACCCTTAGTCGAGTACAAGCAAGTCGTCCTAGTACAAAAAATGTCAGTGAGAAACTGCAGCGTACGCACGGGCTTACAGACATGAACGACATCACCACCGGCAATCCGCCGAAAAAGAAAACGAACAACGTTTGAATCGCTGACTTTTTCCCATTGAGATCGCGACAGAATGTGCCGGTGAATGGAACCGACAGACAATATGAAAACAAAGATTGAACTACGGCAAGCGAAATTCTGTCTTACCGATAGTACGGGTCGTACTGAGCATATGGATCCTGATACCTGCAACATGATAGTAAACAAAACTACATTTGAAGTCACAGGACAAACCAACATATGCAAAATCCCCTGGACCCAAAACGTCAAGTCACTACAAATGTATGCTGCCAATGCAGATCTCCAAACGTACTTCACACTGCGCGTAAGATGGATGAAAATATTTCAACGTACGCGTGCGACGGGGGAGATCGGCTGCGATAAGCAGGATACTCAGTGGAGTGGTCAGCTGGGGGGTATTCCCGTGCATAGTAGTCCCTCGGTGGTGGCGGTGGGGGCAGTCGACGTCCGTACGGGTCAGGGTATGGTCTGGATCTATCCAAAGGAGGTGACGGATACCTGCTTTATGTGGACAAATGTAAGAAAGTAACTCCTAGGAACACACAGAATAGCCAAAAGTTACTCAAAGGACACGATACAATCTTGTTCTACGAACACAAGGGAAGCACACGTTACTTCACACGTTACTTCACAAGTTACTTCACCCAAAAGATGGTGTGAATATTTAATAGGACTATGTCACTACGTTCCAGTTAGACAAGAAAACCTTGCTAAACAATAAAGACCACAAGTCTATGTGTCCACGTGTCATTACAATCCCTAGTAACATTATTGCAATGTACCTGTCTCTGTAGTAAGGATCTCTGTAAGGATCTCCATATGGTGGAGGCGGGGGATACACGCTGTTATCAGCTTCGTAGGGTCTCATGCCTCTACCTCTAGCGCCTCCCGTACCTCTGCCAATGCCACGTCTGCCTCTAGCAGCCTGATCTCTGCACATTGTTAGTAATAATGTCTTTACCAAAAGCCTGTCTAATCAATGTGTTTTCAACATCAGGGTTCTCCAAGCTTTTTCATTATAGCATGACAGGTGCTGCCTTTAAGGTCCTAGTTGCAAAGGCGATTTGCGTGCTAGGGGGTCCGGGGGCTATGATGTTTAGAGTGGCGGGTGCATTTTAGGATGGCGGGGCACGACGATAGCCTGGCGGGCCGCCTGGCTATGAGTGCTCTTGGAGAACCCTGAACATGTAGCTTAAGATGTCATACAAAATTGGTCGCTTGCAAGCCAGGAACTAGACATGAATAGCAATACTGAAAAACCATTCTAGGCACATTGAAACTTCGTCAAGAAAGACCACGTAGCATTGGGGCCCATTGCCAGACACAAAATTAGTCTTAACATTAAGCTTAACATTAAATTTTTCTCGAAGACTGGTCTGTGCCTGAAAAACTCTTTACCATGTTTTTTAAGAAAATGTTTATGTTAAGCCTAATGCTAAGACTAATTTTTGTTTCTGACAATGGTCCCCTGGCGACTTGAGAAAGTTCATTCCAACATGATGAACAAATTCTCTACTAATCGTACATAACATTGGCCTCAACATTATGATGATGTACCAATCACAAGTTCAATGAAAAACTGGTCATACTTTGGATTTGTTGGACAATCTCGAGACCAGTGTCCCTCCATTCCACATTTGTAGCAACTTGTTTGGTTGCCCATTCCTGGTTCCCTTCTGACTGAGCTCTTTGAAATCTGGAAGTTATATAATAATGACACCCATCAAAAAAACAGTTTAAGGTGCTTTAATTTTACATTTAAACATACTTGTTTAACCATTAACAGATATACAGAAAAACTTGTGAATGTTCATTACCAACAGTTACAACGGATTACACTCAAGCTTTTGCACTGGTATTGCTCTGATAGCTAGTAAACGTTTATTGACCAATGCATCGAATCAATCACACGTTTTATTTATAGACGAGATGTATCTCTATGCTCAAGCTGGAAAATTTCACAAGATTCCCTGCATCTAATTACGTGATAACACAAATTAGAATTTTTTGTGTAAAAACGGCATTTGGGATATTTCTCAATTATCAGTGGGAAAGCATAATTTCCACCACAATTTAAGCACAGATGCATCAAAATCGTGGGTTAGGATTTTTCTTGAAGTTTCATACTTTGCAATGTTTTTTAAAAACTGCGTAAAATACATTGTATTTTCGGATTGGTAATTATTGCAAATAACGAACCACAACTAATAAAATATGGTACTTAATATCAAACTATGACGCGCATGTTTACAGCACTTCGTTACCATTAAGGCGAGTGAAAAATTAAATTATTCAGAGTTGGGGAATGCGCACGACCATATGTTCGCGACGCATGCTCAGGCTGTGTAGGGGGGGCTGGGGCGGGGGGGGTCTGCGCCGTCAGGGGGGGTGTGGTGTGGTGTCAGTCGTATCAATGCTATCATCAGTTGGATTTCTTAAAAATGAGCCGGACTCGGATAAGGAATTTGGTCAAT